GGACCCTTAAAGTTTCTTCTCTTTGGATCCTCCCCTGCTAGACCCTGATCTCGGGCCTCCGGGGTTGCCCTTACAGCCCCGAATTCACAAAAATTCTTCCAAGTCCCCCGATCAGCACGTGATGACACAATCAAAAGATCATGTCGTCACACACGGTCACTCTGGTTGACTTCTCTTCCTTAGTCGAGCGGCCTCAGCTTAGCTTCAGCTAACACTCTCTACCTTTACTGCTTGTCTACCGCTAAATACTGTCTAACAGGCCCTTGTGATTGTCAATTTACATAATGAAAATTTATTTGCTATTATTCTGTCCCAATTTGGGTCAAATATCATCTGTCGTCTGGCACGCCTGATCCAATCATGCTTCAAAATATGTACTGTCAGTGGGTTTTTAACAAACTCTTCCCCACCTTTCATACTAGAGTTGCACAATAATATTCTATCACGCCAATCTTTACAAAAATCTTATAACTCCTGCGCACCTGTGTATTTGGTACACCAATCTGTCACAGTACATAGTGTCCTTCTATTTGGTACACTATTGATGATCAAATTTCCCTTTCATGTGATATGTGTGACCAGTGTGACAGATCTACCTCTTACTGCCAATATATTGGAGTCAACAACAATCAGGTCTTTGTCTGGACCCACACTAGTAATTGGAAGGAGTCCATTCTCAGTACCTATCACCCCATTCATCAATCCCATATCCGATTTGGAATGGACAACAAGTGGGTTTCTGAGCAGACCTAGCGGACTCAAAAAAGGGTAAGCATGTTTGTTCTCTTTGGACATAAGCAGTTAACAGAAGCTCCTAGAATATGAGGCCCGTCTGCAAAACCCATGGATTACAATGCTCATGCAGTGGAGAAAAGCACCATTATGCTTTTCTCCAGGCATCTTGGTAAACACTGTCAGTTCTATCCTTCAACTACCCTCTTCTGGTGAAACACTTCCTAAGCTTCATACTGGCCAGCTTCAGTATGAAGGTGCCATTCCTTTATCGACTCTTGTCCTCAGAGATCTTGCCGGCCTTGGCGACCAAATCATCAAGTATGCTGATCTGCTTGGTGGATATGGTGCCCGGACAAGGGAGCAAATACAGTTCACTCTCAACTTTTACTTCACCACCTCTCAGAGCCTTGGATTCCAGGCAATGAGATCATGGCTCTCTTCAATCTCAGGGCTACCAATCACGGTCTTGGCTTGTCCCGCCTCTCGCTGCTCCAGATGGTTCCAGATGCAAAGTTTTTTGCATATAGTGACGATGTCATAGTCTGGGACGGGCCGTCGGGCCGTTCGGGGCCGATCGGGCCCGCGTAGGCCTACAACCGCCATACTCCTCAACGCTCCCCCCCCATTCTTCTAACCCCTTCCCTTCACCCCTGCAGGCCCTACGCAGCGCCCATCCGATCCGCCCAGGGATACAGCGCCCATCCGATCCATCCCTAATCTCTTAGCGTATAAAAAACCGTACTTACAGGATGTAATCACTAGGCTAATATTGTCTATTCTCCGGGCTTAAACCCTACCTTCATGCTCCTCAGACCCACTCGCAGTCACACCACCCGATGATCCGATATGGCCCGAGCCCGACGCTGACAGATGATTTGGCCCAGCTGTTTCCCTATCTCTCCTCAGCTCAGCTTCGGAAGCGGGGAGCCGCCTATTATATCTTGGGGTGCTGGGTCCCTTCCGGCTTCCTCACTGATGTCCATATTGACCAGAGCAGCCTCGCACAGCTCATTATGCATCTAGATGGCGAAAGGCTCTGGCTGACATGGCCCAGAACCTCACACAATCTCACGATACTACACCATATAGGTAAGTTTATCCTCTATAGCAGCTCTAGCCGACTAAAGCTTGCTAGCCTTCACCTGGATAAATTCTGTTTGTCAGCAACAAGAGGGATGTGAATGTCCTCCAGTCATACACAAAACTCTTCCAGCATAGAAAGGTAAGAGCTGGGGAGAGGAGGTATAGTGATGCTGAACTGAGAGCACTGACTATGTTAAAATGCTCAATAATTTTTCAATATCCAATTGGGTTGACATTCAGGATAGACTCCTTGCTCTGCAAGTCATCGTGATTAATAAAAATTTGCAGCAGGTCAGCAGCAATAATGGTGTGACAGTCATTTTTCAGAATAAAAGTTGATGTACGCTGATATAGACATACGAGAACACTGTTGTCCAGCTCATTGAATTGCCTATAGCCCTTGCGCACATGAGTTGCAGGGAGTTGATGCTTTACCATGGTTATAAGCAGGAGCACATTGAATATTCCAATGTTAATGCTCAAGTACACTTTTGGTCTACTAATCAGATAACAAGGACCCTCTAAATAACCTAACTTAAAGGTGGAGCAGGCTTTTGTTAATTACATTTAATTAAATGTATAGAACTAGGATTTAGTTTGGCAGCAGCATCTATTATTATCCTTGCAGAGGTTACTAGAGGTAGTGAGGTATAGGAGTTCAGAAAACTATCTTATAAAAATATGTTAATACAGCTCACAAAAGTCCTCTATGAAGTTACCATTAAGTATCTGAGTGAGTTCTATAGATATTTTATCATTGTAGTACAATATGCTGAATCTGGTAATAGTCTACAATATGCTGACAAGCCTTTGGCTTGTTGTTGCTTGTTTGGTCTTGTTTGTCCATATTTGTTAGTTGTTCCTGATCTCTCCCTTTATGTGTTCCTTAGTTCCTATATGTTTGCTTATAGTTCCTGTTCCTTTTCCTGTTCCTGTTCCTTCTCCTAGCTCCTAGTTAGTAGGGTATATAAGCCTGTTTCTAGTTTAGTTTCTATATCATAGTTTTCCCCCAGCAGAGTTTCCCTCAGAGTTCAAAGTCTGCCTCTTCTTCTCCCTCTCTGGTTGTGCTGTAGCCTTTGGTTGCAGTTAGAGCAGTTTGAAGGGCTCTTGCTTTTCTTGTTCTTTCTCATTCCAGTGAGAAAGCTTGTCAATGCTGAATCTGGTAATACTGACCTATTTCATTCAATTAGGCGGGTCACAGTCACATCAGATTTTTTGGCCGAAATATTTTGGCGGGTCACAGGTCACAGCCAAATCTTTTGGTCCCAAACTGTCCTAATCGGGAAGATTTTCAAATTTTCAGCGCCTGCGCTAATCGGGTAATAGGTCACGCGAAATTCGGCCTGTGGCCGAATTAGACATTTCAGCCAAACGGTCACGGGTCACAGGCCCGCTGAATTGATCGAAATGGGTCAGTAGTCTGACCTTTTGTCACATTGAAAGTACTATAGAAAACTAGGTCAGTCCATGCAATGTAATAAATTTCATTGAGATAGGCATATAATTGATATTGGAGCCCCAGACAACTTATGGGAATTTGATGGTTATCTTTTTGTAAGCAAAAAACCTGTTTGTACTATGCTCTTCAGTCCCTAGCAGTTCCACAGAGCAAAAGGGCATTTCAGAGCTCCTTAAAGCTCTTCATGAACCTGAAAATTTAACCATATCTAGCTATATTTGGAAAAATAATTAAGCAAAATTGACTTAGGATAGTAACAGTGTTGTCTTGTGCTTCAAGAAGCTCAAAGTGGGAAGAGAAGCATCAAAGGCCTCCAAATATAGATTCAGACCTTATATTACACCAGACAACCAATGTCATGATTCATCCCAGTCAAAATCTGTAGTTGTTTATCACCATATATGTACCAGGCTACTCACATTATATATCAAAACTGACTTCCTGACACTCTAAGCTTTTATAGCTACAGGCTCCCGGATCCTGTTGTTGAAGAAAGAAGAGAAGAACCAATGAATTATTAAAGAGTAATACAGAGGATTTATACTATCCTATTTGTTCTAGTAGATTCTAGTTAAGTGAATCCACAGAATGTTGTAGAAGAATCCCACCGCTCTGCATTACACGATGATAGCAGCCGGCAATGGCTTGGGTTCGCTAACCCAATACTTCAACACCTGTTAGATATATTAATTTATTACAAAATAGGTGACCCAATAGGCCTTATGGTCTTAGGTGATGTTGATATATATATAGGTATTGAATGTAGGCTTGAATAAACAGAAAAGCCATATGACAACTCTGTTATGTACTCAATACTGTGTGTCAGCAGTGGACCTCCTGATGAGTGATTCAAATAGTCCAGTAGTGGCCACTGAATAATCATATAGACACCAAGGTGTAATTCAGTAATCACACCTTTTTTTAAGAAACTGTTAGGAACATCTGTAAAAGTATTGGCTGGGAAATTACAGTACAAAGAGAAATCATAGATATATTAGTACTCACTATAAAGTCTAACCAAAGTCCTCATGATATGTCATATATCAGTCACAAGTTTAGATTCAAATTTCCATATATAGAAGTTTGACCACATCAATGGAATGTAGGTATTATTACTTGTTGTATATTTAAGCTTTCAGTTAACATGATACATTAGTAGATATGTGAAAACTATAGAAATGTGAGGGGAACCTCCCTTTCGGCCCCTTGGAGACATCTCCGATTCCGGTCCGACTCCGGTCCGGCCCTCCATCTCGCCTGCACAATCACTGATCCGTCAACCCCCTCCCGACGGTCGCCCTGGGACCTCGCCCGCGACGCCGCCCAAGCCTTCTGTGCCCAACAGCGGCAGCTACGGACAAGCAGTATATAGTCTGCTCCCTGGCAGGCGGACCCTTAGAGTTACTTCTCTTTGGATCCTCCTCTGCTAGGTCAGCTTCATTTGTATTTGCTTACCAATGTTCGCGCTTAGGATCCTCCCCTGCTAGACCTTGATCTCAGGCCTCCAGGGTTGCCCTTACAAGAAAAAAACCAAAATATAAAATAACATGAAGCAATATATTATCTACTACACACTCTATACACTCAATATATTGGGCCATAACTCAATACCATATGGGCAGTAAATGGTTGGAACCTTCCAGGCTCTGAGTAACTTCTTTACTTTTATGTATCACATCTAGTACCGGGTAGCTACTAGTAAGTATAGGTGTATCATAAAAAGATGCCATTCTCCCGCATCATTGACGTCAAGCACTTCTTGCTCCACACACCCATGAGCCTGTCGTTGCTGAAGCCTCAAAGCTTGAACAAGATTAAATGGTGGGTGCCTTCGGCCCACAATGCAAATACTTACTCTTTGTGCAGGCTTCGCGTCCAGCCAGAGCCCACAAATTCGAGCCTTATCGCCGCTCTCCTCCCAGATGACGTCCTCCTCGAGATCGTGCGCCTCTCCGCAGAGACGGACACCGCTAGCGCGCTCACACTGGCGGTCTGCTCGAAGGCCGTCGGGCGGGCGGCAGAAACCGTGCTCTACGCCTCCGTCACGCTGTCCTCCATCTCCGCCATCCGGACCTTCTGCAGCACCCTCCGCTCTAAAAGCCGGCACATCCTCGCCGTGCTGCGCCGGCTGACGCTGCGCATCCCCACGCCACCGCTCTTCGACGACTTCTGGGCCCTGGTGGGCGCGCGCTGCCCGCGGTTGGCGCACCTCACAGTATGCGACGCGGAGATCGCCGCGCTGCTCCGGCCCGGCCTGCGCGTCCGCCCGACGCGGCTCACGCTCCTCGCAGACCCCGCGCGGGGGTCCAAGCTCCGCGAGTCGGTCCTCTTCTTCGCGACGCGGTACGGCGTGGGCTTTGCCGGCCCGGTGGTGCCGGAGCTTGACGAAATCGTCAGGCGCGTCCTGGGCGCGGACCCGGACCCGGACCCGGCGCTCTACAGCCGCCTCACGCACGTGCACATCGCGTCCGCCTGGCCGGACGCGGGGTGGTACACGGTCCCCGCCGTCTTCGCGCTCCTGCGCGCACGGCCCGCGCAGCTCCGGCAGGTCACGCACGTCGCGCTGCGCGGGACCGGCGGCGAGATGGTCGCCGGCGTGTGGGAGGACGTGCGGCGGCTGCCGGCGCTGCGCGTCGCGGTGTTCGCGCTGCCGCCGTACCGCGGCGGGTGGACCGAGACGGGTCCGCGTGATCCGCGGTTCGTGGCGTTCGGCGCGGGGGATGTGGATTTGGATGATGATGGGGATGGGGATGGGGAGGAGAGCCCGCATTGGGCGTGGGCGGAGCGGAAGATCGAGGAGAGGAGGCAGAAGGCAGTCGACTCGAGTCAGAAACCAACGCCTGCCAATAGGTCGGAAGCCGGGCCTTCGCACTAAAGCCTTGCGAGGATCTGCCACGTCCGGTGGCTACGGGTGGGCTTATCAGAGCTATACATAGTTGCGTTGTATTAGGCTGCTCACATACTTTTCCGTCCCATCCCGTCCAAATTACGTCCGAAGCTGTTGGCCCTCGCACCTTTATGGCCACGTCATCGACAATCATCAGCGTGGGAGACGCCAACGCGGCTCGGAGCGACCCAAGAGCGACCTCGAAAAGCACGCGCCTCCGCTCCGCCGTCCTCCAGTCCGGCCGCCCTGAGGACGGTGGCAAGACAGAGGCCGCACCATGAAACCCTTGTCGGCGCGGCGACACCAGGCCTTATTTATACTCCGTGTCCGGTCCCCATCAGATCGCTGATTTTCCAATTTGCCGTCTTTCTCCCACCCACCACCGCAGCCGACGAGACTGACTCCTGGGCGCTTGCTGCCCGTACAAGTAGCGGCGTTCCTCGGAAACATGGCGGCCAATGGACCTGTCGCTCGCCATCCCTCAGAGCGCCCTGCGCCACGTTGCTTTCCGCCACGCGCTGGGTGACGATGATGCCCTCCTGCGCCTCCCCGTTTACGCCGCCGCGGTCTCTGCGTCTGTGCTGCTGGTGCAGACCGCGGTGGCATTCCGCTATCGGGGAGGGTCGACGGGGGCCCCGCCGGCGATTGGCTATGGTGCTATCCTTGCGTGGCGCGTCACGCGGTTTGTCGCTACCGCGGCAGCGTTAGGGCTTTCGGTCACGGTGGCTATTGACGAGGGAGATACGTGGCAGGAGGTGCTGCTTGGAACGGGGCCATATGTGCGCTATCACTCTATCTTTTTGCTGCCTATCCTCATTCCTTACAGCTCTACGCGGCTTTTCTGTCGTTCTTCACCCTAGACCCCCGGAAGTACCGCCAGCGGCTCGTGTGCCACGCCAACTTCGTCCTCTTTGCCGCGTCCGCGCTCTACATCTACCGCGACGTCATGCCGCTCGCCACATTCACGCAGGAGCCGCTCGACCGTGGCGCGAAGATGATAGCCAAAATTGCATTGGTGTTCTTCAGCGGCCTTGTCGTGCCGCTATTCACACCACGGCTCTACACACCCGTCGATCCCTCTGTGCGTGCATCGAATCCGCGGCAACACCCGCTGATGACCACGCAGAACCCGCAAAAAGAGCTCAACCCCGAGCAGACTGCGTCGGTCTTCAGCTTCGCGCTCTACTTCTTTCTCGACACCATCATCTTCGCCGCGTATCGCCAGAAAGAGGTCCCCGAGGACCAGCTCTACGCGCTGTGCGACACCGACGGGGCCGAACACCTCAAGCAGCGCAGCTTCAAGGTGCGTAGTCTGCATCACAAATACTTGGTTAACACAAGTTGCAGTTCCTCGATGTCTTCTCCGGCGCCAAACAACGCCACCCATTCTTCGGACTCATGCGTGTCTATTGGAGAGAATTCGCAGCCCTCTTTGCGCTCGTCGTCGTCCGCTGCCTCGCCAACTACACGGGGCCGTTCGCAATGAACCGGCTCTTACTGTAAGCTGTACATGTGCAGGTTGCCAGAGCGCTGACTCCTTTCCGAAGGTACATCGAGCCGCGCGACCAGCCCGAGAGCCACATCGTGCGCCCGTGGGTGTGGATCGCGCTCGTCGCGGGCGGGCCGCTCATCGGCGCGCTCGCGTTCCAGGCGTACATCTTCGTCAACACGTGCACGCTGGTGTGGACCGAGTCGGTCGTCACGCAGCTCGTCTTCGCCCACAGTCTGCGCATCCGCGTCAAAGCGGACAGCAGAGATGATGAGGCGGCAACGACGGAACAACAGCCTGTTGCGGGCGAGGCGGCGAGTGAGTCCGGGAGCACGAGCGCGGCTGAGGCCTCGGAGGGCGATGCAGAATCGACAACCATTCAGCCCAGGTCGGCGAGTGTCCGCTCGTCGAGCAGCAGCAGTGCGGCACAGAAAGATGGCGATCAAAAGACAGCCGACAAGAAGGCGGAGGAGAAGGGCCAGTCGATGGTGGGGAAAATCAACAACCTGGTGACAACCGACCTGTGCGTGATTCCCCCACTCGTCCAGCGTCTGACTCACGCGCTCCAGCGGCAACATCAGTGCGTATTCGTGTCCCTCCTGCGCGACACGTTGAGCTGGTATATAGCCGACAGCCGTGACTTCATCGATCTGTTCCTGTACATCCCGCTGCAGCTGGTCATCGGGATATACTTCCTGTACGTGCTCCTCGGGTGGTCCGTGTGGGTCGGCGTCGCGTCGATCGTGCTCCTGGCGCCGCTGCCGGGGTACAGTGCGTTAAATACCTTCATTCTCAGCCAGTACCGCAGACTATACCACATATTTCTCCACCCATGTTGTGTAAAAAAAAGAAATAATATTTGTGTTGTGCCCGAGTTGAACCCACAGTGGACCGCCAAGTTGCGATCTGCGGACTTGCTGCGGACTCCGTGTGCGCGAAATTGTGGACAGCGCTTTTCACGCCTCTGGGCGATTTGGACCTGGGGTGGGCTGAGGGGTGGGCCTGCCTTATATATGGAAGAGTAGCTTGGCTTCAATGACCCTGCTCTTCCTGTTGTGGGTTCTGGGGGAAGACAGTGAACGTGGATCAGTCTGGTCTGTGCTTCATTAAATTGGCGGAGATAGGATATGCTATGGTAAGCCTGCGGGTAGCGAGGTTGGTTCAACACCTTCCGAGCTGAGCTCAACCTGTTGGTCATGGTGTGTTCGTCAGTGGTTTGCTAGTAACTGTCTTTTTTTTTTTGGTTGTGGCATTTTTCTTGGTCTGGCAGTCTTCCTTCCTAAAAGACTGCCACTAAGCTGATGGGAGAGTAGTGACCTCCCATTCAGCCACTACACCTGATTGGCAACTCAGTAAAACTGCTAAAAGAGTCAGAATAACAAAAGTCTTCTTACAAAGTGGATCATCTGGTGGATTGTACTCTTCCTGCATTCACAACTCATGTTGGCTTCTCTTTCTGTACTATGGGTATTTTTTTTCTTTTTTTCCCACACTTTAGGGCCGGCCCCATAAATGACTTATATATAAATAAAATATAAAGACTGGCCCTAAAGTAACAGTCCATTAGGGCTGACCTTATAAATGACTTATATAAGACTAGCCCTAAAGACTCAATGAATGAACCGACTGACTGACTGGTTGGCTCACAAATTGAGAAAGAGTGAAAAATCACAACTGTCTTTTAGGGTGGAAATCCATGGAGTCCACTTTAGGGCCGGCTCAATTAATGAAAGTTGTAGATATTCAAAATTGAATACTAGGTTCAGTTTGGACCTAAGCCTGATTGTCAATGGTTAGGCCAGAAAACACAGAAATGTAAAAAATCACGAGTGTCTTTTAGAGTGGAAGTCCGCGGATTTCCACTGTAGCGCTTGGTTCAATCCCTAACCTAGCTGCCAGGTGGAAATCCGCGCATTTCCACTTTAGGGTCGGGCTCAATTAATGAAAATTGTAGATATTCAAATTTTATGACTTGGTTTAGTTTGGAGCTAAGCCCAATTGTTAATGGTTGGACCAGAAAACACAGAAAAGTGAAAAATCACGAGTGTCTTTTAAGTGGAAGTCCGCGGAAATCCGACTTTAGGGCCGGTTCAACCCCTCATGTCGTGGAAATCCGCGGAATTCCACTTTCAAACAGTGTTAGGGTTATAACTCATCCAATTCTTATCCGTTTCAGATGATTTATATATCATTAGAAAACTATTTAAATTCGCTATTATCTGGTTCTTACCTGTCAGGGCCAATCCCGCAACTGCCCATCCAAATCTGAACTTTTACCCTGTTACTAACATAACGCAGTCAATTCTTATCCATTTATATATCATTAAAAGCTCTTCAGGGAAAAAACAAACAATGCCCATTTGAGATGTAGTACCTGACAATCTATGAAGCTAGGATGCCCTTTAAAACAGTGCAACTTGGCTATCTCAGTTAACCTGACTTAAGTACCACAAAAGATCAAGTGTCTTTTGGACTAGGTTCAAAATAGTAATAGGCTTAACTCAGAGAGGTATGAGAAAGCTCTACAAACCTGACCTCACATTGAAGCAAGTTCACTACAAATCTTTTACTACAGAATACTATGGCAGTTAAGTTTATTTCTAGTCTGTTTGTGCCAAGTTATGTATGACCAGAAAGATCTTTACAAGACCTTAAAAATGGGTGACTACCAATCTATACTATTTTACTCCAAGTCAATCAAATAACTTCAAAACAGTAATTAACTCAAAGAGTTTTGATTTATTAAGAATGATATTTATATAATCAGAAAGGTATTGAAAGGCTTTACTGGAGGCAAATGCCCAGGCAGTAGAGCGCCTAGTGCCTGTTAATCCCACAGTAATAGGCTTGTAACTGAGTAAGTTCTTGATTATTTAGTATGTATTGTATATAAGCACAAATAGATTCAATAGACATATAGACTGGTCTTCAATACTGATCTGATGACCACAAATCTATTGACTTTTGTCAATGCCACTTATGGCAGCTACTAACTGCTAAATGAGTATTCAATTTATGAACTTTGTTAAGATTTCCGCTTTATTATTTGATATCATTAGAAAGGTTTCAACTTGGCATTGAACTCACTTGTACTGACTACAAATCTACTAACTTTTGTTAGTGCAGCTGATAGGCTACTCTATAACTTTAAAATAGTACTAGGGCTCTATCTCCGTCATTTCTAGAGCTTACAGAGTAGTTCTGGTATAATTCTAAAGGCCTCTGGATCTATTACAATCTAGCATTCAGCTCACTTTTACCTAGCCAAAAATTTATATACTCACTTGGGCTTGTCAGAAGAGTCATTTTTTGAGCTTCTAGAATGGTTCTGGTATGGCTGGAAGGGTTTCAGAATGTACTATAATCTAGTCTTCATGCCAGGGGAACTTCCCGTCCGATTCCGGTCCGACTCCGGTTCCGTCTCCGGTCCGGCCCTCCATCTCGCCCGCACAATCACCGATCCGTCAACGCCCTCCCGACGGTCGCCCTGGGACCTCGC